TTTGTAGGCATATTAACATCATCCTGTAACTGACAACATTGTACTTCAGGATAAGTCTTAAATGTTCTTTTTTTACAATGAATGGCATACTCTTTCTGTTCTTTTTGGCATTCCCAGTATAGTAGATCAAATGATTGTTCAATTCAAAATGCAACCCCATTTCAGCTCACTAATACTTAGGTTATTGATCTTCATGTGTTTCATGTCATTTTTGACAATTTCCAATTTTCCTAGATTCATACTTTGTACTTTCCACATTTTAATTATTAATAAATGTTTGCAGCTGCTTCTTTTCATTTTGAGTTGCACCATATCAGCAAAGGAAGGTTTCAAAAGCTTTACTCCATCCACATCATTAGGGTTGACTCTACTTTGAGGAGGCAGTTCGTCCCCAGTCATACTTTGAGTGTCTTCCAACCTGAGGGGCTTATCTTCTGGCATTATATCAGACATTGTTCGGCAGCTATACATTAGGTTTTTTGGTTTTTTGTTTTTTTTTTTTTTTTTTCATTAATTGGTGATTTCAGTAACCCACACTATCTTACTCTAGAAACTCCACTGAAACCTGTCCACTATGGGTGATTCTGCTGGCATTTGAAGTGCTAGTAACAGAGCTGCCAGCATCATGTTGTTGTTGTTGTTGTTATTTGCCATCGAGTCGGCCCCGACTCATAGCGACCCCTCCTTGGGTTTCCGAGGCAGTATCACTACGGAAGTAGGATTGCCCAACCTTCCTTCCGAGGAGTGGCTGGTGGGTTTGAACCGCCAGCCTTCTGGTTAGCAGTCAAGTGCCTTAGGCACTATGCTACCAGAGCTCCAGCATCATAAGAACATTCAAATTACTGCAGTATACAAAGTGACAGACAATTTGTGTCACTTAAATTTAGTAAAATTGAAAGGAAAAACTGTTAATCTCATAATCATCTTTAGCTTTAAAGAGACTTTTGAAGTTATATTCTGAAGTATATCTTTTTTATGTTATTTTTAAATAGAAAAAATAAGGTCATCTCTGTATTTAGACTAATGCCCTCGTAAGAGAGATGATTAAGAATCATTTGCTGAACTGAATTGCATACATAAATTGGTAGACATCAGTGGGACATACTAAGAAAAATGATACAAAAAAATTTAGTTACTTTGACTTACAACAAGTAGGGGTATTGGCTTTTTATTTTTTATGGTGAACATTTTTTTTTTTAATTATGCTTTGAGAAATATATAACTCCAAGGAATTATATCTATCATCTAACCCCAATTTAAGGAGCTCTGGTCACACAGTGCCTCAGACATTTGACTACTAACCAGAAGGTTGGCAGTTCAAACCCACTAGCCATTCTGTGGAAGGAAGACGAGGCAATCTATTTCCATAAAGATTTGCCACCTCAGAAACCCAAAGGGGGTCTAAATGAGTCAGAATCAACTCAAAGGCAGTGAGTTTGGTTTTTATTGGTTTAACCTCAATTTAAATAGACCAAATATCCAGATATAATGTTTGCTTATATTTTGTGATTTATGTTTGTCTTCTTAAAAATACACATTTATGTAAGTTGGCATTTGGCCAAAAAAAAAGTAAGAAAAAAGCCTTTAACAGTAAATTCTATAGTTACCCTACAAACCCAATGATTGCTTTACAAGTTAAAAAATCTTTTTTTTTTTCTTTATAAAATAGACAGATCTCCTAATTCTCAATGCAGCTCAATGTCCACTCTTGCCTACCAAAAAAAAAAAAAAAAAGTTCCTTAATTAAGAAGTTTTATTATGAGGGTCTTTTTTGTCTCCTATTCAAGCATACACTTACATGATTCCTATGTATTCCATCTGGTGAAGTCCACATGTATAGTCACCATTTATGTTGTTTAAAAAAGGTATTTCCAATGAATAGATCATTGGTCTTGCAAAATTCTATCATGTGATTTCTGACATCATTTCTATCTCAAGTCTTATTTACCACGTACATAACCCCAAATTGAACCTTCAAATTTCAACATATTCCTACTCTTCCATATGCAGGTTTCACAGATTCTAGGCATATGTGCCCCTTTCTCTGTCATATTACTAAAGATCAGCATTGATTTCTTGAGGATCATTAGAGGAAAGCAGTTGTAGGTTATCATTGGTTCAGGTTATTAATCTTTTCCCCAGACCTCCTGATGCTGACACTGCTATCACACTGGCTATCTAGAGGCAGACAATAGGAATTTCAAACTGAAATATCTACATTCAGGCAACAGGTAAGTCTATTACATTATGAAACGCCAGTGTCTAATAGCACAGTGTCAGGTTGTCATTTAATATTCCTCAAATCACACTCTTCCCAAGTCACTCAAATTCCCAGAAAGAACCTAAAATATCTCCACTGAACAGGAAAAATCACATTTCTATTTAGACAGCTTTCCCTTTGGCCATAGGAAATTAGATTAATCACTCAATTACATGGTCAAAGTATGAAACACTGAAACAAATTTAAAGCAGCAGCATTCCAAAGAGAGAAGTGGGGATTTCATTGATCAAAGCATAATTAGGGGACAGATACTAGAATATAAGGGTTGCCAGCTTTTATGGTTTGCTTGGAAAAAAATTCTTCCCTTGAATGCATAAACTGTGTAATTTATTACAATTAATATTTTTAAATTATTGTACAAGTGACAGTGATATTGTTTAAGTAATGGCATCTTTACTCTGCGTATTGTTTCAATTAGTGAATTCATTAATATTGGTCTTCATTTCTTCAGCTCAGCAAACTACTATGGTTATAAGTGTGTATAAATTCATAACTTAATTATATTGTGGAAACAATTTAGAACTTAATGATATTGTTGAAACTGTAATTAAAATGTATTGGCATGGCATTGTCAATTAAAAGTATATTCATAAGCTTCACACAAACCTTCACTAGGCACCCTTCAGCATGGAGAAGCCACAGTTGTATATCCTTATTGTGGGACAAACCATGAGACTGTTATCGTAGGCCCCCTAAGATTTAATGATGAGATACTGAACACTCTCCAGAATGTATCCAGGGCTTTAGAGAATGATTTTTCATTAAGAAGAACTGTCTGCCCAGTTCCTTGCATATGATTTACAGTGTGACCTGCTTTTCGCTATAAATAATGTATTCACCTTATTCCCAGTTCACCCCAGTGTGTCAGCAACCTGCTATTGTTTACTGCTGAAACTGTATGGCTGGAGAACATTCCGTATGTTCTCTGTGGCTTTATGGTATTTTAGCATTTCTCTAGCACTCTTGCGTGCATTAAAAGGACCCAGTGGCAAATGACAAAGCTTCCAGTGCTAAGAAAAATTGCATTTAAATCACTTCTAGATCACTTTGTTGAAAATCTGCTAATATCTCTTTGGAAAAATAAGTGTCCCTTGGCAAGATAACCTTAAAAAATAACCACAGAACAGAGACTTCCTCTGGGCTATACAGGTCAGGCATATGTTTAGGAAATAGCGAAAAAATCCTCAGGTTTTTTGTTTTTGTTTTTTAAGTGCTCCCCCAGAGATATCTGGATTCTCTCATCTTTACAGGAAGGAAGTGGATGCCAAAGAGGTTGAGTGATTTGTTCAGGGTCTTTTTCCCAGACTACTAATTGTTTTTCCAGAATGTTTTGCTTCCTGTGGTTCACCACCCTGTATGGAGGTAGAGCTATGATTTGGGGGAGGGAGGGAACATTGCTGTAAAATCAATTACAATTCATGGAGACCCCATGTGTTACAGAGTATAACTTCCCTCCATAGGGTCTTCTTCGTTATAATCTTTTTGGCAAGATCTCTAAGCCTTCCTTCTATAGTGGCACTGAGTGGGTTTGAACCACAAATATTTTGGTTAGTGTTTTTGTTGTCGTTATGTGCCATGGAGTTGGACCCGACTCACAGTGACCCCTCCATGGGTTTCTGAGACAGTATCACTAAGGAAGTAGATTGCCCAACCTTCCTTCCCAGGAGTGGCTGGTGGGTTTGAACTGCCAGCCTTCTGGTTAGCAGTCAAGTGCCTTAGGCACTATGCTACTTTGGTTAGTAGTCAAGTGCAAATTGTTTACACTACCAAGAAACTTTTAAAGCTATGCTAATACTGTAGAAATTCCATCTTAACTAACAGCCATTCCTCAGAAGGAAGGTTGAGCAATCTAACTTCTGTAGAGATACCACCTCAGAAACCCAAGGAAGGGTCGCTGTGAGCGGGATCAGACTCGAGAGCAGTGTGTTGCGTTGCGTTGTGTTAACTAACTGGGGCTGGTGATGGGTGATTACAGTCCACAGTTCTCAGAAAAATTAAAATTAAATCAAGAGGGAGTATAAACCAAAAGCTCTCCAATGAGAGATGCTTTGGAGTTAATACTATTGGACCCCTATACCCGAGCCAGGAGACTTCCAAGTTCAAGCTTTGTCTCTTCATTTAAGGATTGTGATTTTTTTTCCAAATACAATCTTAAAAATATGCCATGCATCCAATATATCAAGCCTTTCTTTGTTCACTAATTGTTTTCAGCTTGCAGCTCCTTTGAAGCTTTATTAAATTACTAGAACACATAGACTCCTTCTAAGCACCTGTCCATAGACGTCTCTTGGAGGCAAGTCACTCTTCTTTTTGTTTCCCGTAGTCTTAACTACATAGTATCTTGACATTATAGTTGGTATGCAGCAAGTGTGTGTCATCACCAACTGATGAGGTAAATAGCTGAGATTTGTGAACCTTTCTTTACAGTCTATCTAGTTGTTCAGTAAAATGAGTGAAAACTGAGAATTCAGCAGACATAGATCTGTGAAGTCAAATTCCAGCTGACCAATAGGCTTTACTTAGAAATAAGAAGCTGTAAATACTAATATTAGAAGATTCCTTTGCACTTTGCCTGCTAAAGCTGTAAGTTTATGACTATGCCCTTTAACATGTTTGTTTGATACTTTAATCATTCGTGGGTTTTCTGCACTGTATGGCAGGTTTTGCTGATACCACATGTCTTTATCCAATATTTACAAATTGTTTCTGTTAACTACAGGTTTACACCCTACGAATGGTATAACCCCCACCCATGCAACCCTGAGTCAGACGTGGTGGAAAACAATTTTACTTTATTAAATAGTTTCTGGTTTGGAGTTGGAGCTCTCATGCAGCAAGGTACATTGGTTACCCCTCTTTGTCACATGCATTCCACAGTCTGCTGAAAGGCTTTTGTGCTGGTAAACTCCACCATGAAGCTAGAGGATAGGCTGAAAAACAATCTCAGGAATTAAGAAAAAGGAAAGGAAAAAAAAAAAAACAGCAACTGACTTCCTAGCCTTTTCTGAAATCAAAGACAAAAATAACCTAAATGAAAGTCCTTTGCTATTACTTAATATAACCCTTCTATCAAATAATGAATACAAATTTTGCTGTGGGCAGCAAAGGATAAAGTACCTTAACCATTGTTTATAAACTTCTATAGATGGAAGTGTCAGTCTATTTCTCTTAAGCCTTAATTCAACACATCAGGGTTTTGAAAGGAGTGGAATTTGAATCCTGAGAAGTTTAAGTTCACGTACATCTTCCAATAACAGCTACAACTTCTACATAATTACCACTCTGACAAACCCTTCTGGGATTTATCTTAGCCCCAATAATTTTGCAATCTCCCTCAACTGATAATCATAGCAACAGTAATGCAGAGGCTAGGATAATAAAATTCAAACTATGCAAATATAATAGATTTTATACTTTTATTTTTATGATTTGAGTTTGGGATTTTGATGGGTGGGTGAGGTATTTTAACATTTAAAAAACAATTCATCTCTTTTGTGAACTTTCTGAAGTTTTGATTCCAGGCATATGGTCTAGAAAATGTTTCCAAGATTAAATGCACTCATTTAAGAAAAGCCTAAGTCACAGATGTTGTTGTTTGGAATATCTGCTCTTTTTACAATAAGCTGCTAAAGAAATTGGCATAGGAAAGTTCATCTGAGATACACATTAAACATGTTTGTTTGGGGGTAAACCTTAAGGCTTCTCATTTAAAAAAAAAAAAAAAAAAAACTACTCCCATCAAGTCAATTCAACTCATAACGACACTATAGGACAGAGTAGAACTGTCCCATAGGGTTTCTAAGGCAGCAAATCTTTACAGAAACAGACTGCCTTATCTGTTTCTGACTCATAGCAACCCCTCCTTGGGTTTCTGAGGCAGTATCTCTAAAGAAGTAGATTGCCCAGTCTTCCCACAGAGCAACTGGTGGTTTCAAACCACCAAAATTTTGGTTAGCAATCAAAAGTTTTAACCACTGTGCCACCAAAGCTCCTCATTGAGGAGTTATCACTGTACTAGTTGAAATATATATACTCTGTGTCTCCAAATTAGAGGAAGAGTGATCAATGGTCTCCAGTGTAGCAATCCCAAGTATTTGAAGAAAGTGAATAAATCCTTTTGTCATGCAATTAAGTATAACACAGGGAGCTCTGATGGCATAGTGCCTAAGGCATTTGACTGCTAACCAGAAGGCTGGCCATTCAAACTCACCAGCCACTCCTCTGGTAGCATAGTGGCTAAGGCACTTGACTGCTAACCAGAGGGCTGGCGGTTCAAACCCACCAGCCACTCCTCGGAAGGAAGGTTGGGCAATCCTATTTCCGTAGTGATACTGCCTTGGAAACCCAAGAAGGGGTCCCTATGACTCCGGACTATGAGTCGGGTCCGAGTCAAGGGCACATAACAACAACAGCCACTCCTCAGAAGGAAGACTGGGCAATCTACTTCCTTAAAGATACTGCCTCAGAAACCCAAGGAGGGATTGCTATGAGTCAGAATCAACTCCATGGCAGTGAGTTTTTTTTTTTTTTTTTTGGAACTGTTAAATAGGTGTAGTCATAACAACTGATTTACTAAAAATCATTTGCATGAATTTAGAGCACAGCTTAAAACTATAAATCCTCTACAAAAGCCTATTAGAAGCCATATATTGCTTTATTGGTATACTTAATTTTTAGAGCATTTATCTTATGAGCAATTATTTTTAAAGCATTAAGAGACCACCCTCCTTCCCTATTGCATGCCTTCCCCAGCCATTAAAAAATGCCAATTACTATCAAGCTAATTCCAACTCATAGTAACCCCATGTGTGTCAGAATAGAATTGTGCTTCATGGGGTTTTCAATGGCTGATTTTTTGTAAGTAGATCACTAGGCCATTCTATGGCAGCTCTGGGTGGACTCAAACTTCTAACCTTTTGATCTATATTTGGGTCTTCCAGAGCATGCAATGGATATGAGTACGTGTATGAACTTGACTGCCCCCTGTTCTACTAGTGCACTCTTCCCTAGAACTTCTCTTTAATATTCTATCTGTTTGGAGTTTACCATCATCCACAGCAAACCGTGGGATGCAGTGTCTGCTAGTTACCACTACCTTGGGTACATGACAGTCAGCCCCAACCAGACTCTGCTTGTCTTTCAAGAAGTTTAAAAACATTTGTCAGGTGAAACAAATGCCTCCATGGACGACCTTGCGGTACGTGTGACTGTTATTGCATCTGTTTTTAGCATGTAATACTGGACTAGGTAGCTAAACTCGGCATCAACTGTTATGCTCTCTTTTGTTAGCAGAAGCTTGTCACTGTACTCAATTGGAAACCATTTTGCTTAATTCTTTTTTTAATGTGATGATCAGGATTTCTCTTTTCTACAGAGCGTGAGCAAAGTCTGGATCAGGATTGGCTGTCATGTCTGCCATAAATGGCACTAAAGAGACTTCAGCAAGTATTGTCTCTCATAACAAATCTTCTCTGATGATGTTTTACTCTACATTGATTGCTTTCATAACTTCATCCTCTCGAGGTCTGAACTTAGACAAATCATGTCTCCTTCAGAGAAGCAATTTCTAAGTATTTCAATTACATGAAGAGTCATGAAATTCACAAAATCATGTGAAAATAAAAAGCACAATAAAACATTGAAAAAGAAGGCAGATTCAGACTGCCTTCCAAGAGTTCAAAATATAATTCCAGCACATTAAAATCCATCCATGTTTCTATTAATATTGTTCTCATTTTCTAAGACATCTTCATCTAAAAATATAAACATGTATTTTAAAGTATGAAAGATATGAAGTTATATATTATTCCTTATTTTATGCCAATACTGTTATCTACTCACCTATCCAGTTTTACTACCATATAAAATAAATATATAAATAATAAGCAAAGCCTTATCTTTTTCATGAGTACAGCCAAACAGTATACAAATGAATTTATAGCAGAAGAACTGCACTTACCCCTTAAGAAAACTATATCTATTAACTGTGTTATTTATTTCCCATGCCTATTTTATGAAATATATGGTATTTTCATGATAACTAACTAAAGATCTAAAATAATATCACACTGCCACAAGGCTATTAGATCAATTACGTACAAATATAGGAAACAACCTTGGGCATTAAGCACATACACCACAGCCATATAAATCCATTAAACCACAAGATTAAAACAACAGCAACAAACTATTCCACTAAATCATTTGAGGCAATTTAATAGAAACTATTATAAATCTGGGGAGCTCTGATAGAATAGTGCATAAAGCACTTGACTGCTAACCAGAAGGCTGGCAGTTCGAACCCACCAGCCACTCCTCCGAAGGAAGGTTGGGCAATCTACTTCCATAGTGTTACTCCTCGCTCAGAAACCCAAGGAGGGGTTGTTATGAGTCGGGGCCGACTCGACGGCACATAACAACAACATTATAAATCTGTGTAATATTACACTTCTGAATTCAAACAAACAAAAGAAGAAAACACAAACTTCAGTCAAACCCTTCACCTCATTAAAAGCAGGTAAAGCACAAAGATACCAAATACTTTAAGAGACTATCTGTTAATTCAAAGCTGAGAAGCTCTGCCAGCCTTGATCTCCTTATCCTGAGCTATGAGCTGGCTTTGACTTCATGAGGAATGTGTGTGTCTGTTTATAGATTAAACCCAAGCATAAACTCATTTATTTGTTGATTAATAAGTGTCAATTTTCCTTTCCATCTTAAGCCATATTGACAGAACTTCAGAACACCCAATCTGTACTGTGAAAGAATGTTTTATGCCTTATGTTGGACCTGCTGTAGTTTTTGGATTTTTTTTTTTAATTTACAGTGTTTTTCTTCCACTTTTTAACTGAGCCCATAAGCTCTATTATGCCTCTAAGTTCCTGGAGGAAATACTACGAACATTGGTGAATTTCAGACAAATCCATTAGTCAAAAGCTCTCCATGAGCCAGTACAATTGAAGTGAATCCTACACACTCCCTTCTGGTCTCTCCCATTTTCCACTATACAATTTCTCAGTTTGACCAAAACTTTTGAACGAGAGAGTTTTCACAAATGTATGTGCCTTGTGTAAGTAAGTTTAGCACATATGACCTTTCTTTTAGAAAGGAAGACTATTTTCAAGTACTTTTGTGTCATCTTTTTTAAATAATTAAGAATGTCACAAAGATGACATGTAAAATGTAAATTCTTACCAGAAACAGCATCTTTGCACCTGAGAAATAGCCAGCTTTTGTAGTGTAATTAAATAATACCTTATTCAAGGACAAAATAATACTTTTCAGCGAATATATTCTTTTTAGCCAAAGTAAGAATATACATTAGAAAAAAATAATTGTGACATTAAAAGTAACACAAAGCAATGAAAAAAATAATTCATCCACTGTCAAGTTTGGTTGCATCTTGTTTTATTTGATTTAAATAATTCCAACATTTTACTAAAAGTACATATAATAACTGGTATAGTATGTTAAGCTTTTGAAAGTTTCTTACATCATTTAATCTTAAATAAGTTGGGATTTTAAAGTTTTCATTGTTATAGTAAGAGTTAGAAATTATATTTTACACAATAACATTCATTTCAGACAATAATAAGAGTCCAGAACATTTGTAGTTTGTCTTTTCAATGAAAACAAGCAAAGAAACTGAAATGTAAGCTAATAAAACAACTCCATAAATATTAGACATTAAATAACTCAGAATTAAAATATTTTCATATCATCAAATATTAATCAATTATATTTTAAGCAGCAGCAATGATTAATGATAAAAAAAAAAAAAAGATCATTTAGATTTTGCTCCTTTTTCTTAAAAATGCATTTACACAAGATAGTAGTCCTTGGTAAACATAACTTTCATTTCACAAAAATGAGTAATCTCCCTAGAATAGTCAAGCCATAGTCTTCCCTTTTACTCTGACTCTGTTTAACACTCTTACTCTAATGATACCATCACAGGATCAGAGCTGATGCCCAAAGCTCTATCGACCAGAATAGTTGGAGGAATTTGGTGGTTTTTCACCCTAATCATCATTTCATCCTACACTGCCAATCTGGCTGCCTTCTTGACAGTAGAGAGAATGGAGTCCCCTATAGACTCAGCTGATGATCTAGCAAAGCAAACCAAGATCGAATATGGGGCAGTCAGAGACGGATCAACGATGACCTTCTTCAAGGTAAGAACCTTACAAAGTATTCTCAGTCGTCATCTCATACTGAGGGAAGGAATGAGTTTGCAAAATGAAGGAGTCTGTCTGAATAATAAAATGAAAACATTGAGTAGGATTTCTTTATAAGAAATGAAAAATATGATGATATAATCCCATTAAAGAGAAACATGTGCCCTCAGTAGTCAATACAATGCTATTTTCTCTGGTACCCAACTAGTTGTCCTTCTCTCTTTCCCTAACTTAATACCCTCAGATTCATATATCAGTATCCTCTTATCTTTATACTAGGGAAAAAAAAAAAGAGAGAGTTTCTGAAGACGGCCATTGATGAAACCAGAAATAAGAATTTCTTAATGTGAAATTCTGACAACCAGACTTGAGTATCATTATGTGGTTCTTTCACTTCCATGCTTTATGAGATAGAAGCAGCTGAAACAGGTGGATGTGTTAACATTGGGATTTTCTTGGTGAACTGAAAACAAAATTTCCCAGGGTATTATGGTCTAATACTGCACCAACACTGGCAAAGGACAGTGTTCCCAGGCTGCTTGAAGCTCTCCAAAAGCCTGGAGTACCTTTGGAGGCCTCTAAAGAAAATTGAGTTAGAGTCAGTATAGTTTTAGTGTTGAGTATATTTTATTGTTCAAGTTATTTCAATTACTTCCTTAGAAAAGTGAAACTGATTTCTGTCTTGCTGATGGAATCAGTCCTAGTACTTTTATTATCAAACCTCAGGTATTGTAGCTCCCAGGGGAAAATTAGTGTTAATAGATCCAAAGCGGTTCAGTGATAGAGAAGGGGCTTGTTGCTGTTTTTGCCTTCAAATGGATTCTGACTCATGGTGGCCCCTTATGTGCAAAGTAGAACTGCTCCACAGGATTTTCAAGGCTGTGACCTTTTGGAAGCAGATCATTAGGCCTGTCTTCTTAGAAACCTTTGGGTGGATTTGAATTGCCAGTCTTTCAGCCAGTAGTCAAGCACTTGATCAAATGGGGACTACTCAGGGGCCTTAGAGTTCATGAAGTCCAACCCCTTCACCTTACTTCAGAGGACAAAAGACCTTTAGAAGTTAAGTAACATGCTCAATGTCATGTACTTGGTCCTTGAAAGAGATGGGGCAAGATCCACCTTTTAGGAAATTATGATGGAGCTAAATGTGCCTACAAATAAAAGGAAACCAACCAGAATAAAGTCAGCAAACACCTTTGTCGATGTTTCACACCCAGATTATCAAAAATAAAGAGTTCTCATCTCAGGAAGGAGTGTACTGTGTGGATTTGTGAAAACATAAGTGTGAGAAAGAGCTGACACAGCTTTGTATAACAGCATTTGTTCACTAAAATAGGCATAGGCTTTATCTATGCAGTAAATTTTGCTTAATAATGATAATAATAATAAGAGACCTAGCATGATTTAAGAATAAACTATACCTAGAGTTCTTTCAGGAAAAACAATGTTATAAAACATAGCACTTGCTTTTCTTTTATGTTAGTAGAGGTGGGGGAAGGTGATTTTGAATATTCTTTCACATTAAGAAATCCGTTAAGGCACGTATAAAGCACAGTAAGTGGTTTCCCCCCGCCCTGGACAAATGACGTGTTTAGGATAAATGACATTAAATATATGCCTTCCCAAAGTTCTGAAAGTATTTTCCTGAAATCAGTACTATGAGGAGACAGATATTTCCCCAAGGTAGTGATTCATCATGGTTCTTGTCAGAAACCAGGAAAACCACCTGCAAGGCACACAGGACAGAAGGACACTGCCAAAGCAGTATTGTGTATATGTGAAAAAGTTATCTGAAATGATTTACCTCTTTCACTGATACCAAGAATTTTAAAGTACCAGGAAATGAGCTAATAAAGGCAGAGGCGAGTCTACTGTCCTCTGGATTTCCAGTTAAAAATGGGGAAAGGCTGCAATTCAAAAAAACTATAGACTTAACTTACTGCCGTCGAGTCTGATCTGACTCATAACCACCCCTCCTTGGGTTTCCAAGACCGTATCACTATGGAAGTAGATTGCCCAACCTTCCTTCAGAGGTATGTTTGAATCAGCAGCCTTCTGGTTAGCAGTCAAATGCCTTAGGCACTACACCATTAGAGCATAGACTGTAGGCTTAACTTTGCTACTGTGAAAATCATCTATGTACTTACAAACTCTTCCTTTAACTCATCTGGTTTGTTTTTGGTTATACACCTCTTTGCATGTAGAGGGTGCCAGTTCCCATTTTTTCTGGCAGGGCACTGTGGTGAGTGCATTAGAGGCACACTTGGACAGTGCACCTCCACAGAACACATGTGTGATGCTCTCACAAGTGCTGTCCCCACACATCTTCAGAAAGGGCTCCAACTTGCTCCCATTGTCTGGAATGAGGCACAAGAGAGAGTGTTCTTTCAGCTCACCAGACAAATGATGAGATGCTTCAGAGAGAAAGTACCATAATAATAACAATGACATTGAAAATAGCAGCATACATTGAGAACTAATTCTGATCCACACCCTATGTTTCTAAACGCTTTACATGTAGTATCTCATTTTATCTTTATAAAGGCCAGTTGAGGTAAGTACTAATATTATTCTCAATTTATGTGGAGAAAACTGAGGCACAGAGAGGTTAAGTAACTTGCCCTAAAGTACACAGTTAGTGACTAAAGTTACATAGCTAGCCAGTAGAAGAGCCAGGGTGTACTCAAAATCCATATAGTTCTAGAAGGAAAGCTCCTTGAGGGCAGAGTTTGTCTGTTTGTTTGTCTTTACATCCTCAGAACCTAAAATGGTGTCTGGTACCTAGTAGACACTCAGAAAATATGTGATTGATAAACGAATGAATGCATTAATGAATTCTATTAGAGAGACAGACAGACAAATAGACATAGTGTAGAAATAGGCAGAAACCCACAGAGGGAGAGGCATTGTTGCCAGGTTCCTCATATTACAATTTAGCTTGTGGTCCAGCAACCCTGCTTATCAAGAAGGAATTTATTTGCGAAAAGAGGACAAGGACTAAATCCGATTTAGTTTTCCCCTTGAGGGAGGCAAGCTATCAGAAAGCTTCACAGGGATACATTCAGGATTCTTAAGCTGGATTATTCCACAAGGCGAAAAAAAAATGCTCCAACCTTTTAGCTCTGTGGGGAGTTCCACCCTAATCACTGAGTGACAGCAACCGCTGGCACAAGAACTAGTTCTCTGACCTGTTTATGCATTAATATTTCACCTCTGCTTCTCCATTGGATGTTGATCTCTCTCTCTCTCTCACTCTCAGTTAAAAACAATAATTTCTTTTGGGCTGTTGAATAATAAGGAAAGCTGCATTTTCTTAGTCTAATCTAACACATTCTGATCAGTTGCTGGGACATGAGTCATTTGCTCAGTGGGTTCCCTCTACACTCAATTCTAGGAAATGTCTAATAAGGAATATTTTCTTGCCTCACACAATGTAAGTAAAAGGTTTTTTTTTGTTTTTGTTTTTGTTTTTTGTTCCTAGAAAAAAATATACATATCCCTCTGGCAACACCCAAATGATAGAAGAAGTCTATCTCTTTATTTTCATTTACACAAATTGATTTTAAGTTGTTTTACTGCTAAAAAATGTTGTTGTTGTTGTTATGTGACGTCAAGTCAGACCCGACTCATAGCGACCCCTCCTTGGGTTTCCGAGGCAGTATCACTAGGGAAGTAGATTGCCCCATCTTCTAAAAAATAAGCAGTGGCAATAAGAAAACCAGTATCCAGATGCTCGAGATTCTGGCTGTTATTGTCCATAAAGAAAAGAATGAATATTTAGTGGCCAAGGTCACTTAGCTGATGACACTTACTAAAGATTACGTTTTCTCCAGGTCAGCAGCAGTCTGAAGTCCTGAATTCTTAAGCACTGTGAATAATATAATAGCCTATTTGATCAAAGGGTGTCAGTCACCAGGAGGCCAATTAGCAGGACAAAGTTAAAGAGGCATATTATTTCACCAACAATCCAGGGACTGTGGGAGAAATCGTTTTAGGAAATTCTTTGAATATCAAGGGACCATTTCTTTCTCTTTGTCAAGCCTTTAATTAATTAATGGATACTTTTTATAAATCAGTGTATTAATAATTCAGAACTTCAAGAGGCTTCATTTTAGAGTTTTTCAACAAACTCCCTTTTATTTTCTACTCAGGATAACACTAATTAATAATCTGGTATTAACTAGATTGGTTTCTCAGCTCTCTGCTGGTGAATTATTGGGTACCCAATTGTTTCAGAAATCTGGGCAACAAAGATTTTCTCTACCTTTCCTGAGACTCCCAGGATCATCTTAAAGACCAACATGGACTCATGTCAATCCCCGATGTGTCAGAATAGGTATGTGCTCCATAGATTCTCAATGGCCAATTTTTCAGAAGTAGATTAGGAAGGCTTTCTTTCAAGGTGCCTCTGGGTGGATTTGAACCTCCAGCTTTCTATTAACAGCCAAGTATGTTAACTGTTTGCACCACCCAGGGGCTTCTAATCACCCTATTGAGAGGTCAGATAAATAGCAGTCAGTTCACAGTCAAATTCTGTGTATACAGCTGGATTCCCTGGGGCGTATGTTACCCATTTCCTTCTTTTATAGCCAAGAAAATTGACAGCGGTGGCATCCAGTTACAACTTTTATCATGATTGGGGTACTGAGGTAGTGTATTATTTCTCTCTCTCTCTCTCTCATATTGTTTTTGTTGTTATTAGGGGCCATTGAGTTGGCTCCCACTCATAGCAACCCTATGTCCAACAGAATGAAACACTGCCCAGTCCAGCACCAGCCTCACAATCCCTGATAAACCTGAGCTCATTGTTGCAGTCACTATGTCTATCCATCCCATTGAGGGCCTTCCCTTTTTTTGTTGACCCTTCACTTTACCAAGCATGATACGCTTTTCCAGGGAGGGTCCATTATGACAACATGATCAAAGGAAGTGAGACAAAGTCTGGCCATTTTCACTTCCAAGGAGCTTTCTGGCTGTACTTCCTTCAGGACAGATTT